TAGCACATATACATATATATATATATACTAGCATATATATATATATATATTAATAAATAAACAAATATATATATATATATATAGACACATATATATATACTATCATATTGACATACCCCAGAGAGCCATCGCAGTGTCGACTTGCACAGTCCCACAATCTCCACATCCGCACCGTCTCGAGCAGTTCCTGGGTGACCAGTAGAGTTGGCGGTGCGTGACTCGCCCATCTTGTCCATCCACGTGCCACAGTTGTACTCACTGCCACCGTATACGATGCCGGTGTCGTGGTTGACGTACGCCTTCACATTGAAGCCTGTGGGGTGGTGGGATATTAAGTGTGTTTGTGAGGAAAGGAAGACACATTGAGTACTTCCATATTGTCCGGGTAGAGATCGAGAACTGTGGACTACTTTTGAGCGTCGATATGTGCCATTTGGGTGAATCGCAGCTTCAGTACTCCTCTCACTAGCGTCCACACTAAGTCTATGGTTCACAGCAGCATTAAAATAAACGGAGAGATTGAGAATGGACTTGCTGTTATATTATGTAGTAGCCAGCAGTAGCCCTTTAACCGCTTGGCCTCGGAGATGACTAAACCTTTATAACTTGTACGTTGCACTTTGCAATCAGGCCCGTGAATGCGTAAACATGTAATCATTCGAGTTTTGATCGCTGGACATACCTTCGGGCTTCATGTTGCGATCAAGAGCGTCTCCTGCACCCCATTCTCTGAAGTCAATGCCATCTACGTGCTTCTGCAGACACTCCAACATCACCTCCCGGAGGGGCATGATCACGGCATCATGTTTGTAGGTGTACCTGATGTCAATCAATACAGGCGTTTGGTATGGATCACGTGGACATTCATGACTTACATCAGTGTTTCGAAGCAATATATATATATATATATATATATATACGGAAAAACATGTTGTATAAGTATCTGTGACTTTGGAGGGATTAAGAGGTGCCAGAGGCGTTCCCGGCACAGCTCAGCGCATGTGTACACTAGAAAACATGAGACATACATACAACACTTTATACAAAACAAATACATACATCTCTGAAAAACATGAGACATGCATACAACACTTTATACAAAACAAATACATACATCCCCGAAAAAATGAGACATACATACAACACTTTATACAAAACAAATACATACATCCCCGAAAAACATGAGACATGCATACAACACTTCATACATCCGCACATAAAGACACTTACTTGGCCATGGGTCCAGGCGAGTAGTCATCCCAATTGTCAGTGGGGTACAGGCGTGCCACAGGCATGTCCAGTATAGCCTGACCATCAGGGACGATATCACAGTAGTCTTGGATCGCCTGCAACCAGAACCATACGGCATCTCTGCAGTTGAATCTGATATGCATGGACGAACACGGCGATGGGTATGAGATAATGCGCATCTAGATAGATTGCATTGGTTTTTCCTGGCGCTTCAACTGTCCGCAAAAGTATCACCATTTGAGCGAGAGTCTTTTTGCACAGCTAATGCACCAATGAACGAATCAAATACCCCTATCGTATAGATGGCACACTGCCTCTAACTATAAATATTACCTCTTCCTGACCTGTGAGAAGTCGTTCTACGAAAAGTAATGAAATGCATATCAGCCGTTCGACTGCGCGCGCACGAACTTTTTTATTGAGAACGAGATTATTCTTCAACGATCCGATGAACGACACTGACAGGTTCAAGGAATACGCAACACATATACAGGCAAGTGTACCTATGCGCACCATAACACATTCATACACTGGTATGAAATCGATACCTATGCGTACCATAACACATTCATACACAGGTATGAAATCGGTACCTCTGCGTACCATAACACATTCATACACAGGTATGAAATCGATACATATGCGTACCATAACACATTCATACACAGGTATGAAATCGGTACCTCTGCGTACCATAACACATTCATACACAGGTATGAAATCGATACCTATGCGTACCATAACACATTCATACACAGGTATGAAATCGATACCTATGCGTACCATAACACATTCATACACAGGTATGAAATCGATACCTATAGGGTTGGGGATGAGTTCATGACTGGCACCTCAGATGGAGCCCATAGTTGAATTAGCTATGCCAGCAATGCATGACGTTTTGCAACGGTGCCAGCGAAAAGTATAGAACCGACAGTCAGAACATAAAATGGGATATATGTCAGATTCGTATCAATCTGTCTCTCACAAATACACACACACACACACACACACAAACAAACACACACTCCTACATACGCAACCACACACTCCTACGTCCATAAAAACACTCTTACATACACCAAGCTAGTCTCACAACACACCTCGAGTTTCGTGAGGCATCCAACAGATTGGGGATAAGACCGTGCCTGGCCGTTCCGGAGAATCCAATGATCAGCTTCGCGGCGTCTGCGTGTCGTCCCGTGACCAGCAGTAGCCCACGCAGTGCAATGAACGTGTCACGTCCCCACGCACGCATCATGCCATGCGAGAAATGGGGTAGCCCAGCGGCCATGGAAGCGCTCAGATCCTCGACTGGTGTGCGTGTGTATACAGATACACGGGTTAGTATGTGACTAAATGTGTATGGATGGCTATACAGCGCGCTGTAGATAACTCGAATTCGACATGTGTACGGATGGATATGCATGAAACCCTTGTTACAGCTATGTTAAGTATAACGGTACGACTCACCCTTACTATAAATAGAATATATAAGTGTCATCTCCCCATGCACGAATCATTATTCGACAAATCAGATAGATCAACAGATATCAAGGCGCCTAAATCCTCGGCAGAATGCTTTGCTCATGTAGTCCTGTATACATTTTGCATGCGCGCCTGCTCACTTAAATCACGCAGAAGGTAAATGTGACGTCTATTTTCACGCACGGATCAATTCATGAGATGAAAAGAAGGTTGCGACGAAAGATGCTCAGCGTACCTAAATAACATATATGTACATAAAACACGAATGAAACAGCACTTGCGTGGCATTACACACCTCCATCGGCCCCGGGCTGGATAGCGGGCTGGGGGGGTGGCAGGGATGCGTCACGGGTGGGTGCAGACCTCAGGTTGGCCATCAGTTGGATCGATGTCATCGCCAATTTGTGGACCAGCGAATCCCCATCGCGGACAAAGGGGCTCATACGCTTGATGCTCTGTGATGTAGGTAGGGATTTGTATTTGAATTTGATCCGATGGTGGTCTATGAGGGATGGGACGGAAGAGTAAAATTCCGTATACATATATGCGTACGCTTGATACTCGGTGCTCGAGGCAGTGACATCGTACAAAACATCCGACAAAAAAACTGTATATTCATGAATTACAGCAACAGATGAACAAACCGGTGTATAATTGAACAATAAACTCAACTCATTGCAAGCGACATCGTACAAAGCATCACTCAAACCTACAAGTCTATTCTTGGACTATAACTGACCTCATTGCAAGCGGAATCGTACAGAGCATCACCCAAACCTACAAGTCTATTCTTGGACTATAACTGACCTCATTGCAAGCGGACTCGTACAAGAAGGTCCACACGTCGCAGAAATATGCGGGGATTAGGAACCTTGGCAGCTGTTTGATCGCATCAAACCGGCCATTCATCCACTGCGTAACCTCTCTGCCGTATGACTTCTTCGAAAGCCGTCCCACAGCCCAGTCAATCATCCAATCACCGCCACGCAAATTGTTGGCGAGTGCGGAACCAAGACTGTACAGACGAGTGAAACAAGAGGATTGGGTGTAGGGTTTGTCAGCCAGAAAAGCAGAGAATGTCGTGTAATAAGATATGTGAACTACTGTCGAGTGCGGCATCGAGGCTATGTGGACCAAGTAGACGAATAAACTAGCAGTCGAAGCGAAATAAAAGAATTGTCAAGCCAATGAGAAGCAGACGAAGAGCAGGGAATGGAATAGGCAAATAAATCAGTAGACGTACACTGCTGCCCGATGTTGAGGTAAATCGGTGAAAGAGACCAACCAAGGGAAAGTACAAAACAATCAGGATTTTGGACTGTGTAGGCGTACGCAGCCGAAGAAGTTAGAGTTGTTGCAATCCTATAACCTATGTAGTAGCTGTCAGGCGCTACAACTTCCTTATCGACCGAGCCTTTAAACCCCCAATCGGTACTATTCACTGTCTGGACAGCCTTAGATATATGTACTGACATCGCGTCCAACCTAGATGGATACAAAACCAATGCCAGTCCAACTGTATTCGTAAGACTAAATCGTACAACACCAATGCGAACCCAGTTGTATCTGGAAGAAAACCCAAGCCGTATTGGAGCACAGTGTACGACGTAGGCGTGTACTTGCCTCTCGTGATCCTGATACGCTTGCTCAACAACTGGCTGTGCTCAGTCACCGTCTGCAAACTACTATATATACACAATAGAACACACAACCCCAGCAGCAGTCCTTATACGACTACACCACAGGACGGGTACCGCGAGAGGTATACTGAGTACTTACGCCCAGCAGCCTTGGCCCACTTACTAGACTATTGACTGCAGCGCAATAATATTCACAACACCAGCTGCAGGTCACATACAGATACATTACAAGACATAGTCCCGTGAGAGATGCATTGAGTACAAACCCCACGTGATCATTCACAACACAGCAACAGTTCCCAAAGGTATACATCACAACACAACAGTAACGTCAGTGATATATTGTGTACATACCCCCCGTTATCCTTGCATACTTCTTCAACAACTGTCTGCACACCCTGAAGACCGGCGTAGATCAAAGGCCCGTGTCCCGGTAGGTCGTATGCGCCATCGCTTTCCTCGTCCCACTGCATTTAGGTGAGTATATCGATGTAAATACACGAACGTGTTTCTATGGCACCCTATAGGTGGTTATTTCAATGTGAATATATTAACGTGTTTCTATGGCACCGTCTAGGTGAATATATCAATGTGAATATATTAACGTGTTTCTATGGTACCGTCTAGGTGAATATATAAATGTGAATATATTACCGCGTTTCTATGGTACCGTATAAGTGAATATAGCAATGCAAATTGTTTAATGTTACTATAATGCCGTATAGGTGAATATATCAAAGTGAATACACGAATGAGTTCCCACAGTACCGTATAGCCGAGATAGAAGGCATATGCACAGGTGAAATATCGAAGAAAGCTCACGAACGTGTTTCGTATAATAGCATAGATAGAACAATCCGGTATATGCACACAGTACGTCGGCTGGCGACACATTTTCCAGTGGAGCATTGAGACTCCCCACATCTCAAAATATCTCGCTAATCCTTTGATTTGAAATATCTGTCATTCTAATTCTAATTCTGGTAGGGTCTGTAAAATGAAAACAAACCTAATTCTAAAAGCCAAAAAATAAATCTAAACATGAATCAATAGTCACAGTGAGCGCACCTCCTCGGCATTGCATCGATAGATGAGATAGTTCAGCTGCATGAGATCGAGCTTCGCCAGGGCGTTGTGCAGCTCACTCTTCGAAGACTGTTTGTAGCCGACCAGTTCCTTCAAAGCTTTTTGCGCCTATGGTTGACGAATAACAGACAGTGAGACAGGGACAACAGACGCTGAGACAGGATATTATGCGATAAGCTGGAGGAAACATGTGATCACATTGAATTTGAAAATATATGCTGAGACAGGACAATTTGGGATGCGGTGTAGGGATCTTGAGTTCACAGTCGATCTCCGTCAATATCCAAGCCGCGAAGCAAATCAGATGGGCACAAATGCACCCATACTACTCACGTATGAACGTTATTTGTGCGCTATACACTGGTACTCACGCGTCTACCACACTCACTACAAGGTACATTTTCTTATACTCTGTTGTGCAAACAGGCTCCTGATTTCCATGTTTGAATATACATGCATATATATATAGTACAATATCTATCCATATCGCCATATAAGCCATCCGAAAGGTTCACATATCCAAAATACTACAGATGGCGTCCGTATAGTCTCACAACATACCTTGTCGTGCACGGCTGTGCGAATAATCAGCACAGATCCACTGCGGAACTCGCTGGCGTTGATGTGGACGGTCTGACCTTCGTGGGTGTTCTCTAGCGTGCAGAACTTTGAATCGTCCCAAGACACGTCTTGTGCAGTGTACACATTGACATCTGTAGACACACGCCACAGTCCACATTGGTAGTTCATATGAGGGGACATAAATGAGCTCCTTATGACTTGCTTCGAGGTACAGTGCATCTGCTATATCCAGCTTTTCTACATAGCACTAGCAACGCAAGGATGTGCATCGCATACCAATAAGTGGTCGTAACAAGGTGTGTAGTGAATGGGCAATGGCTGAGGAACTAGACCCCAATATAGCCCACCCCTCTATTCAATGAACCTGACAATCTATCGGGCTTATCTTCGTCTAATCAATATGCTCATTCAGTCAACGTACGTTCCGTTGCAATAGCCAAGCTTTTCGAGTGAAGCATGTCAGCTACCTGCTTACTCGTGAGATAAATCCGCCCAAACTTTCGCCTGTAGGCCGAGCCATTCTACAAGGCTCTGTATTCACCACTACCCACGACACAGAATCCACCAAAGGCCCTAGTGCACTGTCAGACGGTATACGATAACTTGCCTCTGACACTATTAATGTGCCTGTCATTTTACATGGACCAAAATATACTTCCCAAAGAAATCTACCAGGCACTGAGCTTTCACTTACCGCCAGTCAATATATGATATATACCCCTGACACTTTACATGCGCCTACCATTCAGTTTCAAATATACACTCTTGATTGAAGATTTGTGGGACATACCCGGAATACCGTTGATGGATTTGATATCGTTTTATACAACCAACACAATGACAATGTCAGTCAAATAAATAAATTAAATCCAAAAATTTGTGGCACATACCCTTGATACCATTGATGAACTTGTCATCCTTTTTGAATCGTTGCACGGCTCTGTCGGTGTTGGTCTTGTCGATGTGCATGCTCTCCCTATAGATAGCATTTAGTAGGCATTTAGTAGGTGTAATGTGGTTTAATACCAAGCATAAGTGCCGCTTATTTTCCTGAGCAATGCATACCGTAGGTTAAAAAACATAAAGTTGTTAAATTCTCGGGCAATGACAAACACGGAAAGTGGAGTGCATCGCGCGAATGTCTATTTGACGAGCCATGTGAGAATATGGTTAGGCTGAAGGTATTCTAGTATTTGAGAACGCTCCTATTCCCTGCAAAATGCATAGGTTTCCAGAACCTCCTCCTGCTAAATAGAACATATAAATACTGAGTTCGTATTGCTCAGAATAGCGAGTTCCGGCAACATCCATGTATGGACAAGCGAGTACACAGCTGAATTGACTGATAATTGCGTTGCCACTGGATGTGCCACGAGGTACCACGAATCACATTCAAATTCGCAGCTATTTGTCTTTATAAGATCGACATCGTACACAGTCGTAGAGTCAATGTGCTTAGCCGCAAGCTACAAGTACCACAGCACTATTCCCGTAGGCTACATAAATGACGCCCCCAGAAATATTCATCTCACACGTTGGCGCATAGAAAGAAAACACGGATGTCAGAAATTATATTCGTGTATACGAACAGTTGCTCGAATGACATACATGTAGCTTAATAAAAAAATTGATCCGAGCATAAAGATGGAAAGAATTTCACATGTACGGAAACTTGATAGCCTGATATAAACTTGCGGAGCATCGCGCACGCAATAGCACCTCAGATGCTTACCTTCGTGCCATGACACTCATCGAAGCCTCTAGTGCAATGGAGGTGACCTTGCCCACAACCTGTGAAATAGAACGGTATGCATTGATGTGAATAGCAGTCAGGGAACATGGAACCTGCCGCTCGCGGTGAGGATACCACTCGCAGGCAGAGTGAGGATGGATTTTAGGGTTTAGGATTTACGGCTGGAAACAAGGTATTTACCGCTTGAGCCGAATAAAGCTCACTTGCAGAGTGGGAGTGTGCGGCAGTAGGGAGAGCCCACCGCTACACGCCCTAGAGATACATACATCACCGCATTACGCCCTAGAGATGCATATATATATATATACGATTGTGTTCGAAGTGCGGTATATCACTGGGCTACGCTACACATGTGTAGCTGGCAGTGAGCAAACAGAGTGATCGCAGAGCAATATGCATGCTACACATACCGTCACCGGGGGGATGTAGCCACTGTTCTTATAGTGCTTGTTGAATCCCGAGTTTGCAATCAGCAGCACACTCTCGCGCGTCTCTGGGTTGTGACGGGTAATCACAAGTACCTCGGGGGTGACCTGCACAGACCACACCACGTGGCAAATGAAGGAAGCATACGCCGTTAATACTCGATGCAGAAGTATTTACACGATTACATCGCTTACATACGCGCTTTCAGCATACGATCATGCATATGTGCAGCAATATTAGATACACATACATACACGCTATGCCAGTGAACTAACATAGGGACCACGGAAGTATACGGGAACAATAAAGTCACCGAGCTATAGCTTTTGCGGTGTGCAAATGCGAATTTGAGAGTTTCAACATGAAACGCGTGCGTTGGATATAGTCGAGTGGCGTCGTAAGAGCTTCGTACCCCACCACCAGTGGTACACTGAAGTGTGACTCACACATGAGGTCACGAGCCGCTGAGCAATTTTTTTGGAGTGTGAGCCAAATTCAGGAACCGAAAACGAACATACTATACGATGCAGTCGTCTTGTATAAGGCCAGTCTACTCTATATGTCGCATACGAGACTTGAAACTTATACAGAGTGAAGGCATAGTAAACCTTATCGAGAGTGACGATACAGTGGCAGATGTTAATTTTGCTTCTCTAAGACATTTCTAGTCACGCTATACCCAGCCGCATACTATGTATGTATAGAACCTTTCAACTCAGTTTTGATGGTGATAATAATAAAAATAGTGGAAGTATCTATTTTCTGCTTCTTCAGGGACAGTTCTAACCATACTGTACACAACACAAATGCGTGCCTGATCGACGTAGATCTCACAGAAGTTGTCCTGGCCCATCTCCACATGCAGTTTGTTGATGGCACGTCTCGCCTCCATCAGGCCTATGGGGTGAGGGCGAACAAAACATGTATGTGAGAAGCTTAATATAGGTTCAAAATATCAGAAAAAGCAATATAATACACATAGATATTCCTTGGTAGACTCGTATGTATGTACATGCAAACGAGCATAGCTGTACTTCGACGACAACATGCAAGGTTTTTGTCCTTAGGTATACCGGCAGACATGAACATGTATAGGACTACATGCGATTCTGGTCATTGCACACGAGTTTGTCTAATAGTATCGGCTTCCCGAAAGCTCCGTGGACAGTACAGGCGGGCTTCATAAAAAACGACCATGTAGTGTACCAAAATTATTCCGTGTGAACATTTGTATGCTATCTAGAACTAAGTATTTATGTAGGTGTGTGAATACATGTATGTGTAAATTTGCATTCCATACCAGTATGGTCATTCACCACAGAGTTGTCCTCAGCATCAGCAGAATCAGCCCATGACGAGTACAAGCGTGCTTCGTTGACTACGTCAATGTAATGTGGCACAAGCTCATCATAACCTCGATTGGATCCAATAGCGCACGCAGACATCGCTGTGATAGCGGCGTTCGCCAGAGTGTCCTATAGTAGTAAAGAATATACCGATAGTTTAAGGATATACATATCCTTATTTACGTATATATATTATATATATATATATATATATATATATATATATATATATATATATATACAATATATATATATATATATATATA